TAGGTATCCTCAAATAAAATTTCATGCTTTATGTCCAATCCTAATTTTTTTTGTCCAATCCTAATTTATAAATATAATTTCTAATTGTTTCATTTTTAAATTTTTGATAAATTTGTGTGGGTTTTTGCGCTTATATTTGTTTTATATCAAAATACCAAATTGTTAACATTATCCTTTTCTTGGAAGATTATTAGAGAATACAGATTAATAGGTTGTAATTTCTATGTTTTATGTTGTACTTTCTGAACCTAAGCTATTAATTATATTTTAAAATGGTTTCTTAGATACGGGGTGTTAGAAATTAATTTTACTTCTGCTTCTTTTTAAAAACTAGAAGTGAAATCAAAATCAATTTTCAGGAACTAGTCACCCTCATATTTTAAAAAACTGTTTCTAGAGCATTTTGGAGCCCTCGGGCATTTTGAGCCAGACACTCCAATATGTCAGCTGCTGATGTTCCTCAAAGAGTAGAAGCAGTTTTAAAAACTAGATCCAAACACCCCATAAACTCTCTTATCAACATGTTTTCTAATATAAAAAACCACAGCGTGCATCTGCCTTTTCAATATATTGCACTATATTTTTTTTGTAATTAGTTTTATAGTGAAGTTGAACGATATTCATTTTGTAAAATATCTATATTTAGAAATTTATATTTCAAATATTACCTCCATGGCTCCATCCTACTAACATTGAGATATGAGGAGATGGTGCGATTATTAAGAAAAGTGAGTTTGTGTAGTTAATATTGAATTGATAAAGTACGAATGATTTAAAATTACACAATCTTACCAAATTTAGTACCTATGAGACGATTTTAGTGGAACGGACCGGAAAAGAAAGATTGGTCAATTTTAACGGGGCGGAGGGAGTAACTGTTTTAGTCCCTGTTTGTATTTCAGCGGGTTGGAACCAATCCGCTACAAAATGTAGCGTTTTGCTTTGACAAAAACGGCGGTTTGGAGATAAATCCGCTGCTAGCCAAACATACCCTTAGTGGGAAACCGGCCCAGTCCTACTTCTTGTCCTGGCTCCGTCCCTGTGAGCAGCGTTTTTATTTCAACGTTTATGTCCAAAAATGCTAGTGCCAAACAGTTATTTACTAAACAACTTTTTCACTTATTTAAAACGCTAAAAGTGATCAAACCGCCATTTTTTTAAACGCCTCTTATCAAACACCCCCAATGATAAAGTAGATTTGAATGATAAGAGCATCGTGGAAGAAGGAAGAATAATACTATGTATGTCGTAAGTGTTCTGTATTGCATAAGTTGATCTCCACTATTGGATGAATAAAAGTCAAATAAATAAAAATAAGGAAAGAATTAAAATAGGCTGCATGATATTTCGCAATCCCACCGATTGTGTAATCGGTAACCTTCCAAGTAGAATAGTAACGTGATATTTGCATATCACGCATTACCCAAAATGATTGATGATGTCCGTCCTTGAGAACTATGCATGATGTCAGCAAGAACGGTTGTGACGTATGTCCTGAATATGATGAACGTCTGGGAATCGACTAAATGTGAGAATTGTAGTTAAATTGAGGCAGATCAAGTTTGTTGGGCCTCGAAAATCTGTGATTACAACTATATGTTCAATTTGTATACTACTGTGACCAAGAAAATCTATAAGTGTAATCACAATTCTATCCATAGATTTGATTTAGTATTGCCTAATACGGAGTATTTTTGGAAAAATCCTTTATTATTTGTTTATATGTATCTTAAACGCAATATTAAGATAAACTATTGTGTTTGGATTTGAGTTGTACTTTCTGTGGCTAAAATTTGTGTTGTTATTATGTTGAAAAATTCAACCTTAATCCCAAAAAATTCTTCTCACTTACCTTTTTGGGATGTCCCAAAAATTTCTTTCTATTTCCCTTATTAGAAAGGTTTGTGAGACTACCATTCATTTACTTTTTTCTTATTCAATCACAACCATACATTTCAACTTTATTCTCACTTTCTTAAACTTCGATCCAAGTAAAACTCGGAAGAATTTTTTGGGACGAAGGGAGCTACGTATGCACGTACCCAAACCGAACAGACTTGAGCTATCAAAAATCTAATTCAGACTCAATATAATGAACCTTGATCCAGTTTCGGCCGGATGGGTGACAATTCAAGTAGCCTAGTAGGAAGGCTATATTTACTCTGTACGTTCTAAATTTAACTCCGTATTTATTGAGTGCATCATTTTACACAACCATGAAATAACAGAATTATGTGTCCGGTGCCCGACTGTCCGTCACCCCTTAATTACAAAAAGGGTACAAATTTTGTTTATAAAAAGTGTACAAGTTTTTGTTAACAAATACGGAGTAGATTTTTTTGTTATGCTTATAATAACATGGCATATATTTGTGGTTACAGGTTCCATGTATGATATATATAAGTATGGGTGGGCAGGGATGGATCCAGGATTTCGAGTTAAGGGGGCAAATTGTTTTCATTAGTGTAGGGAGTGAAAAAAAAATCTTTGTTAAGCGAGACAGGAAAAACTTCGTTAGTGTAGCGGGGCGAAATTTTTTCGCTACTGTAGGCCTCTGCAGCTAATTTTTATTCAAAGAGTTCCATTAGTACATACTAAATACACGATGACATATTGACATTTATATCTATTATTATATTCAAACTCTAATTTTAGACAATGAAAAGATAACTTTGATTTAATAACTATAAGTGCTCTAGAAAAACGTATTGATACATTAAAGCTTAACAAATGACAAATCAAAGGAAAATTATTTGAAAATAATTAAGAAGGGATATATAACATTTTATGATCTTATATGAAGGTAATGAGGTTAAAATTAAAGGTACACATCAACCAATGCTTTTTAAATAACTTATGTCTTGTTTAACCACATGAACTTTAACAGAATAAAGAATTGGTTTTTGAATTGAGATTTCTGTCTACCGAGGGTATTTGTGGGTCACGATGAGCTTTCTTAATATTACAATAGTATGTATGAGATTATTATACTAAGACTACTATAATACGTAGTAATGTTAATTCATATATATGGTGCATATCATATTTATATTAATTGTAAAATAAGTTAAAGTATTATCTACTCAACAAATTGTTTTTACAACCTAAGAGGTAAACGAAGAGTGTAATCTAATGTCAACAAACATTTATACTATTTAACTACTGTATCTGAATTTCAATATCGTTTGATATCTTACAAAATCGAGTACTAATTATCTAATAAAGATAATTAAACATTACAAAAGTAACAAAACTAAGAATTTTTAGGTATCCTAAGTCTTAAACAATGAGTTCTATTGTTTATTTGTTTAAGTTATGTAAATTATTTTAAATTCTACTTCTTTTAAATCACCAATTAAGTATTACATTATGTGAGCCTATATATTAATTTTGAAAACTAAAAGTTAAGAGGAGTGAAAACATATATATCCAATTAAAGTATGAAAATCTTATGAAAATATTACATGCATAGTAGAAAAAAATGGAAGTCTAAGGGGGCGGTCGCCCCCTGCGCCCCCTTCGATCCGTCCCTGAGGGTGGGTGAATGATAGGGTAAGCACAAGAGTTGTCTGTGAGGGTAACGTGATGACCTCCAAATGGTGGTGCAGTTGCATGTGATGTACCCAACCAAACCTTTTTAATCCTTCGGTTTTCAAGTTCACTTCTTTGTGACCATTTAATGCCACTGTTAACAACAATTGCCTCTTATCCATGCCATGTGCTTGCTGTAAAGCATCCAAATTAAACATTTTTTACTCCCCATACATTTTTCACGAATACACTTCACCGTGACACGAACAATACGGAGTAGCTTTTACCCATTACCATTAACCTAATTAGCACGGAGTATCTAGTTACCCAGGTTTTTGTTCATTAATCAATTTTTTATGATTAAAGTGGTAAAGCTAAGAATTGAAAAATGACATGTAACTCATAGTCAAACCAGAATCACTCGGACTAAACTTTCACATCACATTTGCATGCCCCCTAGGCGAACAGTAACTACTGTAGTAAGGCGTAGTCGTAGAAGGAAGGTAGTGTTCTCATCTTTTGCGGCAGATGGTTATCATTAATAAAAAGACTTTTTCTCACCCGATAAAAGTGGGCATGCTCTGAGGGTATGTAAGCGGCGTGAGCCGGGCTCCATCAAACTACGAGCCATATTCCTAAATTATACTCCCTCCGTCCCTTATAACTTTGCCAACTTTCATTTTTTGGATGTCCCACTAACTTTGCCACTTTCCCATTTAAGTAAAGAATTTGTGGTTCCAGTTAATTCTCTCTCCTCTGCACAAACCTCAACCACACAGTTTTTACTTTATTAATCCACGTGCCGGTCAAACTTGGCAAAGTATTGAGGGACGGAGGGAGTAATTCTAAGAGCTCATTTGGTAAGATTATTTTTCGGTTTATCAGACTTATCAATCAACTTTTTAATCAAATATGTAAATTTTGATTTCGCGCGCTGAATTGTGTAATAATTAGAAAAAGTAGATTAAAGTTACTTTTTTAGCTGTATCGGCTAAAGGGTTTCGTAGATGACTATATTAGCTATTTTTCATATAATTTTTTTAATTTTATTAATAAAGAATTAGTCAATACAGTCACTTCAACCAGAGCTTCATAAATTTCTGCAGAATCAATTGATTCAGCTGGTTTCAATGTTACCAAACAAACTCTAATAATTGACGTACACAAAATCTGTACACATTTGACATGCTTTTTTGTTTGCATCAACAATTATAGCTTTTTTAAATGAATTATCGATATACATAGGCAATTATACCTTTCGTTTTATCATATTGGGATATCCCTATTTAATTGTCTCATGCCTTATTTGATAAAGTTTGTATGACGCAAAATCATTCTTACTTTATTATTATTTTATTAATTAATATCAATCACACAAACTCACTTTTATTAAAATTGGGTGAAGTGTTTACGAATTATACCTACAAGGCTACAAATAGAACGCAAACCGGTCTGCCCTTGGACCGTCTCGGTCACATGATGGACTGCCCTGTCTCTGTTGCAGACAAATTTCTGCCAGCAAAACTCCGTCCTCTTCTTATTCCAACGTTTTCTTCTACGGAGTACTTCTTTTTCTCCTCCGCCTTTAATGCGGTAATGCCCTTTCACAGTATCTTCTCTCTCTTGCTTCTCTGAAATTAGACGGCCTCTTTTAGCTGCTGCTTCTTCTCTGTAATAACATCTCTCTATCATTAAACCCAGCATTAATTGCAGATTTTTTTTAATTCTCCACTATTTGGAGTTTTAGAATATCCCCTACAAGTTATTGCATCTTCCTAAACCCGACTCTTTTAGAATATCCTGGCTGCTGATTTGCTGAATCGAACTCTACTGCGCCCTAGCCCAGTTCATCGAAGGTGAGAGCTCCTTCCACACACTCAGTTTCGTTGATCTTTACTATTCTATTTCTATCATTATTTCCTGATTCGTGATTGTACTTCTCTTTATCCCCCACCGCCGTACTCCCCGTAATGTCTGTGTTGTTGATATTGTGTGGCAATGCTGAAAAGATTAGATTTTGTCGATTTCTGAGGTTACGAATGGTAAATTCGTTCCTGTACTTGGTGGTAGTAATTAGTGGTCCAGATTTCCTCCCCGAGAAAGCCAGGAACTTGCATTATTTTCTACTACGCTATTTGGAAGTGGATTTGTAATTGAAAAGGCAAAAACTTTTATTCAGTCTTAGTGTACAAACTGAAAGTGTATATATGCACCTTTACATAGGCCTCAATCTTTGATGCTCTTGAGCTCTTAAAGTTTGTATGGTTCCAAGACCTCTGAGGGCAGGGAAGGGGAGGTGGTGGTCTGTGTTTTATAAATTATTTTTACATTTAGGTTGTTCAATATAAAGTGGAGATATTAGACTATATTCAAATACAAGATCTAACTAATCATACCCAAAGTAGTTATTTATAGTATTAAACTAAAGAGTAACAAATCCTGATAAACTAGTTAAATAAAATCAATCCTAGCCTTCCATTTCATTTGTACTCCCCTAACTAAACCAACCTTAGAAGGCTGGCCACTTCTCTGAAACTTTTTTGAAACTCAAAGACAACTTTTATTACAATTGCTTTTTTTTTTGTCTAAAATGGTGTTTCTCCTGTTTCATGTTTCACGTTTTTTTGCTGCTTATTTTTCAATAGAACAGAGAAAGTAACGGTAAGATTTGGCAAATTATTATAAGTGCAATGTGGTTTATGCCTTGGTAGGGTAGAAATATAGAAGGCAATGAGGAAAAGTTCTACTTCGTTTCGCAATTCAGGAACATATACAAGCCCATCAACACCAGAGTATGGAGATAATCACATTGGTGGGGTCCATAAAGGTTGGAGTTCGGAGCGCGTCCCTTTGCCCACAAACAGTAATCGGAGAAGGAATGTTACTTCAACTGCATTGATCCCGTTCAGTACTAATGCAAGGGCGTTTCCATCGAAATGGGATGATGCCGAGAGGTGGATCACTAGCCCATTGTCAAATTTTGGTGTTTGCAACCCATCAGCTGCTCAACCTCACAGGCATGCCAAGTCAAAAAGTGGCCCGCTTGGGACCTCAGGTCATATGTACATGCCAAATTATTCACCCACTGTTCCATTCATTGAAGGGGGAGGGGGCATTGGTAAATTCACTGGGAGTTCACCATTTACAACTGGTGTAATTGTTCCTGAAGGCTTATGCATTCATTATGGTAATTCCATTAATTCTAATGCTAACTCACTGTGTGCTGAGAAGAGGATTACTCGAGCTTATAGTGTGCCTGGTCTGTCAGATTCATTGAGTGACGCCTCCTCATTGCCTAGCTCACGAGGTAAAGTATTAGCTTAAGTACAGATTGTGAAAAAACCACCTTTCACTTAAGTGTAAAAAGGATTATCCCTATGGTCACTTGCATTAGAAGTGGCATTTTTGTACATTCTCTTTATTTCTGTAACAATGGATAGAGCTAATCATTGATGAACTGACCTGCAGATGATAAACTTGCTACAGGAAGGGTTGCAGAAACAGATGAGTTGCATGTGGTTTCAAGGAGGGATATGGCAACGCAGATGAGCCCAGACGAGAGTATTCATTCATCTCCCAAAGAACGCTCACCACTGCCTTCCTTTCCTCTCCCAATTCCTGTGGAGGATGAACACAACAAACACTCTGCTAAGGTTGAAATTAGAGATGTACAAGTAGACAAAGGTGTTTCCATTTCCAACCACAGTTCAGGAAAATTAGAGAAAAAATCTCCAAATGCCATTGCCTCGTCACATTGGAGTATTTCCGAAGCAACAGGAAGTGGGTCGAAGTATGTGAAATCTTTTTCTGTTTGAACTTTCAATTTTCCTCTTTTGTTCTGAGATTTAGCGGAATCAGTATATGTTATTTGGCTGAAATGGCTAAATCTGCTTAATCTTGTAAAGGAAAAGTGTTTGGTAAAGCCAATTTCATCTGAATAAGCAATTCTGCTTTCTCTGATAATCCGAATAAAACAATTAGCTGATAATGCTCCCAAATGGGACATTAAAAATACTATTCTTGTTTTGGATCACAAATGTTTTGACATGTCCAACACTTTAATGCTTAACAGGGAGGAAGCAAGAATTGGTGCATGGGAGAACTTGCAGAAGGCAAAAGCTGAAGCTGCTATTCAAAAGCTAGAGGTGAGTTCCCAACTATCGCAATGAAAGATAACACTAGTCTTTTTTGTTCCAATGATGTTATGCTTTGTAGATATCCCTTATATGTTGTAATTAGAAATGATGAGATTTCCAGTTATTATATCCAATCTTGAGGTCTTTGGTATTGATATGGCGTAGCAAATTTTCTCTCCGAATCTCAGAGAAAATTTAAAAGAAATTCAAGAAATACAAATAAATGGTAGTAAGAAAATATTTATATGAGATGTTTATAAGTAGTTGTCTTCGTTCAAAAGGAACTTACAAAATCTGCCTTTGTTGTTTTTGTTCAAAAGGAACTTATCAAGTCTAGCTTTGTTTGTCCAAATTTTTTCCAATATCAATAGTGTCATCATGATTTCCATTCATTTTCCAATAGATTCAAATTACCCATATTTCCATGAATACTGATATTCTTGTCCTTGGTAGCGACTAATGATATACATTTTCAGATGAAGCTAGAAAAGAAGAGGTCTGCATCAATGAACAAGATTTTGAACAGGTTGCGATATGCCCAGAGTAAAGCTCAAGAGATGAGGGGTGCAATTTCAAAAGGTCACGGCACAAAAGTTTCAGACAAAGCCAGGAAGCGTTTTAAGGTTTCCTTTGGAGGCTGCTTATCCTGCCGCACTCGTTAGATCTAGGTTCTCAAACTTCACCAGCACTGTTGAATCCTAGTGAGTAATATATTGCAAGTAGAGCTCAGCATGTGTCAGTTTTTGTGCCAATTTTGTATAAAGGAACAGATCTGTGTACATCATGAGACTACAATGAATGTTATTTGTTGGGGTACAATTTGTGAACCAACTGATCCTTGAGCCTTGAGGAGTTTTTAATCGAGAGTAGGGAGGGTGCTAAATGATTTGTCTTCCTTCCACCCCCCTCATTTTTCGTCACACCCTCCACAACCTCCCACAGTCCCACTCCCCTCAAATAGGAGAGCTCCCCTCCCGTACCCTCAATTTCCTCCTTTTTATCCTTCTGGAGGTTTGGACCCTGTACTCAATAAACCTCATGCTGCTATAAAAGCATTTCCAAATTCCAATATGAGGTGTAGGGTGACTAGGGTCTATGTTTAAAGGTACGTTTTATATGGCGAAGAGAGATATAGAGAATGGCTGTTTTAATCTAAAATGAATGAAGAGATATTGTGAAGGTTGGAAATTCTTTTGTTTTGAAATAATTCTTTTTCTATTAAGATACGTTGTAGTGTTTCACCTTTCCCCATGTTTCCCATGCAACATAGGAGATATTTGGAAGGATAAAACTTATGAGGAAAATCGAGATAAATTTTTGGATTGCCAGATTGGTGTTTGACTATATTCATATACAACTCCACAATGAATTTGACTATTTGAGAGGAAAGAGTAGGTCCAAATGGGCTAGAACTCCTAGAAGCGATTTAAGAAGCGCAAAAAACATGCAATGATGCAAGTACTAACAAAATGTGTGAAATAATATACGGTAATGTGTATAGACTATAGACTAGTGTGCATTGTGCAAGTTGCCCTCCTCATAAAGTCATATGGTTAAATTATCAGTCTTGTAGCCTTGTAGTTGTAGGGTTGTAGGTTAAGCTATAATTATTTGGTAAAGCACTTGCAATTATCTGTTTTCTTGATCTAATCTAAATATACAATCATGTGCGAGTAGTGCTGGACTCGGGCCGGTTCGGGCCCGGGCCAGGCCTAGGCCCAACCGGGCCGCCGGTTAGGAAATGTTGGGCCCGGGTAGCTACCGGGTCCGGTCCGGGCCAGGGCCTCGGGCCTTTTACATTTTTTTTTTTTTCCTTTCTAGTTATCCCCCGACCCCCATCCTAACCCCCAACCCCCCAAACCACTCCAAATGGTCCAAAATACCTAGCCCAACCCGGGGATTTAAAAAAAAGTTGAAAAAAAATAAGCCCGGAATCGGGCCCGGACCGGCCGGGCCGGTTCATGTTTTGGGTGACCCGAGCCCGGACCGGAAACCCCTCGGGTCGGACCTACCCGGACCGGTCACTGGCCGGGCCACCGTGTCGGGCCGGGCCGGAACAGTGCCGGTCCCGGGCCGGTTCCGGGTCAGGCCACCTGGCCTGAGTCCACCACTATGTTGATATTGAGAATTTGAGAGTTGAAACTAAACGTCTATAAGTGAATATTATTAAAACGCTAACCATAATTATTATCAATCAACTTGTGTGGCCTGATATAACTGGATTACTGGAATACTGGATACAAAAGGAAATACTATTCAAACAGATCTAAATGTGAAATTTGGAATCAGATATGAAATAAATAGAAAAGGAAACTGAATTATTGGATTCCTTTTGGATAATTAGAAATAAAAAAGACTTGGTCTGACCACATAAATAATTGACAGGCAAGTAGATACAACCCTAGAGGCCTCGAGGGTAAGAGAGTATTACAAATATGGAAGTATGAGCAATAAAAAAAGGTAATTATAAGAAAGAAAAGAGTACAATGACGAAAGATGAGCTTGCAATAGCAAATCTGGCAAAAACGACAAGAGCAAATGTATCTGCCAAAACAATCCATTATGGGCATCCAATTATCCAAAGATAAAACAAGTTCAACAAGAGCACTAGAAATTCATTGGGGGAATCCAATGCTAAAAGTAACATGTCCAACAACATTACAAATTGTAAACAATGATACATCATTATAGGTTGTAGGATCTAAATAAATTAGCTTCTTCAGTTGCGAGCAAGTTTTTCAAATTTATAGAACACCCTTTTTAAGTATTAGGCCTTCCAGCAAAAGCTTGTTAGCCCATAATATCTCTAATAAAAAATAACTTAACCATTCATATTACACCATAAGAAAATCGGTCCAAGAGTTTTGGCCAGCGATTCTTTTGGACTGCTTCAATAGCAGCAACTAGCAAGTCGGCTCGAGGCTTCTCTGCTATCATCAGAAAGGCATGTAACCTTATATCAGCACCATGACACTGTAGCTAGTATGGCCTATACCTCATATCTGTGCGCGAAGGTCTTCCTCCCCCAAAACTACTACCGCCCATGCCACCATGCATGCTGCCATGCATGCCTCCATGCATGCCATATCCCCACTATATATAAAAAAAAAATGTTCAGAACATTGCTAAAAACAATGAATAAACTAAATGCGACAGGAGAATTTCTAGGTGCACATAGTAACAAATTAAAGTAGACAACCAGTGATCAAAGGCAACGCACAATGTGCGTGTGTGAATATCTCTTCCTGTAAGAGTGTATTATTTGTATCGCAAACAGTGGAAGTTCAGTTTATTTATAAAAATACTGACATGCCTCAATCTGAGGTGCTCAGTTGAATACACCAAAGGTGTGCAACAATGTATGTAATAATTGTGCACGGATGCATACAATGATGTATCCATGATATTTGTGTGTGTATCATTATCAGCACCTTATTCTCCTTTTGTTGGGGATGGTGGCATCAAATGCAGATATGCACACATTATTAATGGAAAAGCCAAGAAACTCACATCATCAAAACCACCTAAGCCCCCATACATCCTGCCATAGGTACGCACTGGGCCACCATAGGCCCCATATGGTTCTGGGTGGTGGTTATCAATCGGATAACTACTAGGACTAGCATCATCATCAAGTGGTGTAGCAGAATCGATTGCAACCTACAAGGTCAGCAAAATATATGTCAGTGCAAATTATTGCCTTCTGTAATTGTCACACACAAAAAATCGCATGCCAACTCAAGTAAACAATATCTCTGTATTTCAACTTCTTCCGATTACAGAGATATGGTATTTTGCCAGTACATAAAAATATCTGAAGACAAAACTAGTACCGGCTGTCCACAAATCTCATGAGGTCTTCGCGAAACACGTTCTGCCACGCCATCATCAGAAAATGTAACAAAACCAAAACCTCTATGTCCTGTCCTATTGGGGTCCTATTAAAAACAGAATGGCCATTAACAAAGAAAAACCAGCTAATATTTTTCAAAGTTACAAAACTAAAGCTTACTTTAGGAATATAAGCATCTAAAATACGGCCAAATCGACCAAAATAATGGCGTAGATCTTCTACAGTTGCCTCCTGAGGAAGCCTTCCAACAAAAATCTTTCTCCCCATTCCACGAGGGGGTAAACCTCCTACATTATAAATACTTCAAGGCTAAGCAGATGATCTTATATGGTACTGCAAAGTTAAGTATGACACTTATGCATCTTCTTTTGATCGATAAGAACTTACTTCCATACATAGAAGGTGGATGGTCATACATTGTTGGAGCCCCCAAGGCAGCATATCTAGTAGCTCCATTGATGTATGAGCTGTATGCTCCATATCCACCACCTTGAGACATTCTTCTTACTGGCTTGAAATCATCTTCCTAGAAACCAAGTAAATGTATTGATTACTTTTACGAAAAGAATGTACGGCTTTAACTTTCGACGAAAAAAGTTGGATGGGTTGATCTTTTGTATGGTCCAAGTAACACCCTATACGCTAGCTGAGCCCAACCACCAGCTGTGGCCAAACTTGGAGCCCAACATGTTTTCCCCGCACAGCTATAAGCAGGTAAATGATTACTCCCCAAGGAAACCAGGTGGGCTAGCTACTCAAAATACTTGAGCAGTGTTATTTGGATGAAGGATGATTGCTAAGCTAGTTGATAGCAATGTTTAGTCATGCCACTTAGGATATTTTGACTTGGGCTGAAATTTGTTGGTCTGGTCTGAACTGGTCTGGTAATGTCTAGTCTCTAGTCTCTGTGTATTTTATAATCCAAGTCTAGTCTGGGACTGAAAACAGTCCAAGTAAAAACATTCTTAGATGTTGAAACAAAAAAGGGAAATTTATAAGGCTTACCTTTGGAGTTGCTCGATCAACAACAACAGTAGAGCCTCCCAGTTCATGGCTTTCATTCATCAGGTCATCAACTGACTCTGAGAAAAGACGAGATAGGTTGAGATAATTATTTCATACATACTTTCAGTACATTGTTGGTCAAAAAAATCCCCAAAGTTTCACTTAAAGAATATCAAGCAACCAATAGAAAAATCAAAAGCACCAAGGTTATGTGATAAGACAAAAATACACTTGCCAGAGTTTGAAAAAGTGATGAAACCAATCCCACGATGACCTTTAGTGCTTGGATCCTGCATAATTTTGTAAAAAAGATCACTCAAGCTTTTAAACATTATAAACAGAAATATTAACATCAACGATCATCAGTGTCCACAGGGCAATGTGTGAGGCAGATATGCGAACCTTTGGCATGTACAGATCTGTTATCTCACCATATTTCTCAAAGTAGCTGCAAAGAAGTTACAATAGAATCAGATTTACATATCTAGTACATTCTCAAATAACTGCAGATCACAAATAAAGGTAATATACGAGAGGTTAGAATTTAAATTCATTTTGCAATGGTTCCATGATGTGCATGTTGGTTTTACAAAATCATTTTTACAGTTATGCATTGGACTAACACTATGTCAACAATCTCACCGCATTGTCATCTCATGATACTGTTCATTCAACTGGAAAAAACATATGAATGGTGAGTTGGTGACAATATTGAGTTATAAAATATCATTTCATTATTCTTTTTGTTAGAAGGTTGGGACAGAAAAGCATAACATCAACACTAGTTTTGCAATAACTGATAGCATTAAACAATTACATATAATCACAATTGACACTAGTTTCATATCTCGATCTTGACATAGTTGGTATTAAGATGACAATGATGAATAAGATGGTTGTTATTAAGATTAAGCAAATACCTTCTGAAAGTAGATTCGGTAACAGATGGTGGTATCCTAGCCACAAAAATCCTGCTCACCTTCTTTGCAGGTGCCCTCATCTCCTCCTGCGAAGAATTGTATCTAGTGTTTAAATTACTGTTTACATACAATAACTGTACACTGTTCACATTAACAGTTTCACACTACTTGAGAAAAAAGTTCCTTAGAAAGTATGGAAGAGATCAATCATGGGCAAAATAAAAAAGACAAGCAAAAATAATTAGTTCAACCTTGGGAGTTGCAATTTTTACTTCCAGTATTCTGTTTCCAAGAAAATGCTCCTTAGACAAGGCATTCTGCAGGATAAATATGTTAAAATGTAACTACAAAGTAAACTAGACAATCATGTTTGTACACAGATGTACAACAATTGCATACATA